TAATAACTAGGTTAGACCTCAGCAAAAGCAACATTCCCATTGTGGTGGCAGCCTGCTCTGTGTGCCATAATTTTGGTGAGAGTAAGGGGGAAATGTATCTGTCTGGGTGGAATGCCAAGGCATATCACCTCGTCAGGGATTTTGAGCAGCAGGCACCAGAGCAATAAGGAGAGCACTAAAATGGCAGTGCGAATCAGAGACATTTTGAAAGATAGTTTTATGAATGGCCAGTTGTGAGAGTCATGCATATTGCTCTCAACAAAGTCCCTCTACATTCAGTATGCTTGCCTGTAACCTTCCATCTTTTCAATACCAGCTATAAAAAGACTTGTTCACAAATCATGCATTTTTATTAAGGGAACACAGCAGTGACAACGGGACTCCAGGGTGAGAGCTTTGGAGGAGAGGGTACTCACAGTTGTGAGAAGGACAGCCTTCTAGTTTGCGATGCATCCCTGAGGGTTGGGTGTGGGCTCCACTTGCTTACATGCTCCTTGTCCATGTTGGCAGATAGCATTTGCTCCTTAAACATCTCTTCCCTAGTTCGTTTTCACCTGCAGATCTGTGCCAGGTGGACATCAGAGGGGGCTGGGGAGTGTGAAGCAGGCTGACTGCTGTTCCCACTAACAAAAAATGAAGGACAGACTTTACAGGCAATGCATTGCAGAGTTTAAAGCTTAATCTGTTAGAACAAAATGAAGGTCTATCTGAAGACAATAGGGATGTTTTATGCACCAGGCTACAGTTATACTTTTAGGCGGTCACTTTGCAGCAGGACACCTCAGTTTTTGGGGAAATAGCTGGGTTTGGTTTGGTGGCAAGCACGGTAAGGGACAAACCGGAGCACGAGCCTGCAGGTGGGAGGAGGGAGAGGGTCTGGATGTGGCAGCAGGATAGGGGCTCACACGATGGCCCCCCCATTTGCTAAACCCTGTAAGAGTGAGTGACAGTCAAGTGGGGGAGGCGGTCTGGTTGTGGTGGCGATGCAGGGGCTCGTGCACCACCCATGTGTTCGACACACCCTCCCCTTCCTGTTTGCTGGAAGATGGGAGGTCTGCAGGAGGATGGAGAGGGTCTGGGTGTGATGGCAGACCAGGCTAGGGGCTCACTGGGGATGAGCAATTGGAAGCTGACTGCAGAAGCATCGGCTAATAGCTTCCCCTGTTTCATCCAGGTTGCCATGCGAGATATGTCCTCTCAGAATCACACAGAGTGATAGGGAGCAGATGCTGACTGAATGTGGTCAGAAACTTGGATCTTATGCTGCAATGCTGTAATGTACATCTGTAATGTAAATTTGTGCTGTAATGACGCCTGACAACTTATTGCTGGTTGGTGTGGAAAGGTATCCTACTGTGGAGGGTGGAATAAGGCAGCCTCCCCAGAAATCTTGTGAGAAGGATGAAAGAGTTCTGGTATGAGAGCTTTATGGAGATGTGCAGGGAGGATTCCTGCTCCATCTCCAGACACATTAACAAAATGTTCTGGGGACTGCACTGCTGTGTAGGCACAGTGGCCATCACAGATTATACCGGAGTGCCTTAACCCACTTCTGGTGAGTTCACATTTTTATCTTGCTAGAAGTGCCTTCCCTGGGATTAGTGCCCAACTGTGGGATGTCCTGGGAGGAAGGGATTTTCTCCAAAGTTTTAAAAAGTTCTTGGCTCTGCATAACCTTAGTTTCCCTGCTAGCCTATGGACCATTCTCCTGTTTCTCCTCCTCATCCACTATGCTTTCCTCTATGCAGCGGCCCAAGGGTGCCTGAGGAGTATCTTGGGAGGAATCCATGGACTGGCTATGGAAGCTGGTCGGGTCCTCCCCTCTCTTCATCAGGATCGAATGCAGCCACTTGTAAAAGTGGCATGTTTGTGGTGATGCAGCAGACCGTTCCTTTGCTGCTTCATCTTTTGATACGACTGCCTCAGCTCCTTTATTTTCATATGCCATGGATACATCTTTCCTCCTCTGTGCCCCTTGCGATTGTGGCATCGATACCTGGTGCTCATCTGTGACTCTGGGAATTCATGCAACTTGAACTCATGGTCAAGTATGCTGTCTGCTCTGAGGTTTGCTCACTACACTGGCAACACAGGAAACCAAATTCAAATTTTCCTGGAGCTTTTCTTGCTCACCTGGAGAGCTGTAGAGTTGAAAGTTGTGGTCAAACGAGTCATCGCAGGGCACTGTGGGACATCTCCCGGGGGCCAAAAATGTCTACTTGTACAATGCTATGTCTGCACTATTGGAAAGTTGACTATGCAAGATTGAATTTAGTGGTTACTCATTGTGAAAGCTGAAGTACAGAAATCTGCTTTAATGACCCTTTAGGTTGAGGGGACAGGCTTGGTAGTGTGCTCTCATGGTTTAGAAAATCATCCTAATGCAGCTAAGTTGGACCTAAACTTTCAGTGTAGACCAAGCCTGAGATGGCTCCATTACTGAACAGCCAATCTGGGTTCTTACTGCAAGTTGGATGGAGAATTTAATAGTAGGAAAAACTGGATAACATGAACTAAGAACAGGACTAAAAGTAAGTGAATCCTATGTTCTCATTCCAGTTTTCACACAGATTACCTTTATGGCTTTAGTCTTCAAATGAAAGATAATACTACTTACCTAGATCACAGATAATCATCATGATTAATATTAGTAAAGCACTATACAGATCCAAAAGTTAATCAGTGTGTACACAAAACCTTCAGCGTTTGAGAAGAGATACTATGATCTCTAGACCTATATTTATACAATCATTGACAATTTTTTATTAAAAAAAAAAACGTTTCCAACTACATATGGACTCCAGCTCAAGCATCTGAGCTCCATTTCTACAGCAAGAGAATCAACCATTCCCTGACTTGCTAATTAAAGTCAGTTAAAATCAAAATTCCTCTAAGAATACATTTGCTGAACCTCCCTTTATACAGTGGTGTGTATGCCTTCCCAAAAATGCTAAGGCCAGATCTGCATAGGATGCCATTTCTTTTCCTCATGCATCTCTGAGATATGGAGGAAGAAGGCGCTTCCTTGTCCTCAACTGTAATAATTGGATCTACATTTAGTTTAATTATGAGTTTAAGTGCATGAAAGGTCACTAACTTATAGTAACAAATGTTGACAGGGAAGTTACAAAAGGGAGGCAGCCAGCCAGCCAGACTGAATTAATATGAAGGCATAGTGATATAATTCAAGGACTGTGTTAAGATCATCCTGGATAAACAAGAAAAATATAAAACAAGAAATCAGGGAACCAAAATGGGTGAGTCAAAAAGCCATTTTTCTCCCCCCCACCCACCCCCTCCCCAGTCTTTTCCTTCAGGTCAGGACCTAAAATAGAAGTGATGCAGGGGTGGAATTATTTTATCCACCACCAGAGGACCTAGTTTTTGACATACCAGTTTTGGTTCACTGATTTCTTTTGCGGTAAAAATTCTCTCTAGGTAAAAGAAAACAAAACAATGGTTGTTAAAACAAAAGTCTTATTTGAAATTCGACGTATTAAATAATTTTAATAATGTTTGTAATGGTACTAAGCAGACTAAAATCTCTCTGGACCAAATCTTATTCAACATTGTTTAATGTTAAACAAAACTTAATGAGGTTAGCCTGTCTTTCATCTAAATTAGTACAACACTCTGCAAACTTCTTCCTGTCACCCAGGGAAAACTTGCCAGGAAATCCGAAGTCATCTTTGTTTTTTCCTTGAACACCTGTGTGTGTTTTTTTGAATAGATACAATTTGGCCCTAAATCCATAATGTATATTTAGGCTTGAATTTTCCTGTTGGAGTCAGGCTTTAATAGAAAAGATTAAGTGGGCTGGTACATAATTCTGCTTGTACTTCTACCAGCAGCAATATATACAAAACTGACATAAGAGTATCTTTTTTAAGGTTCTATCGTTTTCAAAACGGATCTTGTCCAATACCAAATCAGTGTTAAAATCTGGAAAAGAACTTGTGTCTTGACTCAGTCTAGTTCCCTATCCAATGGAGCATGTTGCCTCTAGCTAGATGTCCAATTTCAGCTAGTTAGGTTTTGTTGTTTTGTTTTTACACACACAATTGCAGGCACATTAAGGAAGACTTTACTTAAGACTGAGCTGAAAAATACAGGCAGACCATGCGTATTCTGAAGATGTTAATGGTTTTCATTTCTAGGGATGCTTGGAGTGCATTGGGAGATATGCCCAAAGAAGAAGCCATGATCGCATATGTTGAAGAAATGAAAAAGGTAAGAGGGCATTCAAGTTCATGTATCTTCTAAAGTAATCTTGTTTTTAAGAACATTAGAAAAAGAAGGAAAATATTTTACTAGCTGCTAGGGTTTCATTCCTGTTGTAATAGTTTTGAAGTTAAGAACTCAAAGGAACCTACTGACATAATGTTTTAAATCACAGGCCTGAATACAATGTAGCTCTGGCAAGTGAGCTGCAGTGAAATACTGGAACTGAAACTGCAGTTGATTCAGAATAAACTAGGAAAGGGAGGGAGGGGGGAGAGAGATCCCAAAGGAAAAAATGCTCAATTGGATCTACAATTTTACTTTCAATTATGAAATTAAGTGCAGGAAACTTTTGCATCTCAATTCTAGCTTGAGATGTGATAGGATCCTCACATGGAATAGTCTTGAAGTAGTTTATAAACAAAATGGTGCTGAACACAAAATTCTGAATCTGAATATTTTTAAATCTTGGAGGATATTGAGTTAGAACCTAGGTGTGATATAGGAATGTTGATGCCCACCTGCTTCTAATCGGTTAAACATTTTGTTTAACTGATTAAATGGGATTTTACATCCCCAATAGTATCCTTATATAATGTAATTTAGTTTATACATCCCTTAATAATGCTAGTTTTTAAAAAAGGAAAAAATTAGCTGTACACATAAATAAGTACTGTAAGGGAACTTTTAAAATTAGAACTAGAATCATAGAGCTAGAAGAGACCTCAGGAGGTCATCAAGTCCAGCCCCCTGCCCAAGGCAGGACCAATCCCAACTAATTCAACCCAGCCAGGGCTTTGTCAAGCCGAGACTTAAAAAACTCTAGGGGTGGAGATTCCATCACCTTCCTAGGTAACCCATTCCAGTGCTTTACCACCCTCCTAGTGAAATAGTTTTTCCTAAGAGCCAGCAGCCCCTCCCCCACTATAACTTGAGACCATTGCTCCTTGTTCTGCCATCTGTCACTATTGAGAACAGCCTTTCTCCATCTTCTTTGGAACCTCCTTTCAGGAAGTTGAAGGCTGCTATCAAATCCTCCCTCACTCTTCACTTCTGCAGACTAAATAAACCCAACTCCCTCAATCTCTCCTCATAGGTCATGCGCTCCAGTCCCCTAATCATTTTGGTCACCCTTCACTGGACCCTTGCCAATGTGTCCACATCCTTTCTGTAGTCGCGGGCCCAGAACTGGACACAATATTCGGCTCTGGTGAGGTCACATCTGGAATAAAGGGGAATAATCACTTCTCTGGATCTGCTGGCAATGCTCCTCCTAATGCAACCTAATATGCCATTAGCCTTCTTGGCTACAAGGGCACACTGTTGACTCATATCCAGCTTCTCATCCACTGTAACCCCCAGGTCCTTTTCTGCAGAACTACTGTCCCCAGCCTGTAACAATGCTTGGGATTCTTCCGCCCCAAGTGCAGAGCTCTGCACTTGTCCTTGTTGAAGTTTATCAGATTTCTTTTGGCCCAATCCTCTAATCTGTCCAGGTCACCGTGGACCCTATCCCTGTCCTCCATCGTATCAACCTCCCCCGCCAGTTTAGTGTCCTCTGCAAACTTGCTGAGGGTGCAATCCATCCCCTCATCCAGGTCATTAATAAAGATGTTGAACAAAACCGGTCCAAGAACTGATCCTTGGGGCACTGTGCTAGAAACCGACGGCCAACCTGAGATTGAGCCATTGATCACTGCCCGTTGGGCCTGATAGTCCAGCCAGTTTTCTCTCCATCTTACAGTCCATTTATCTAATCCATACTCCCTTGATTTGCTGGCAAGAATATTGTGGGAAACAGTATCAAAAGCTTTGCTAAAGTCAAGGTGTATCACATCCACTGACTCTCCCATATCCACAGAGCCAGTTATGTCATCTTAAAAAAACTAATCAGATTGGTCAGGCACGACTTGCCCTTCGTGAATCCATGTTAACTATTCCTGATCACTTCCCCCTCTTCTAAGTGCTTCAAAAAATAAATGATTCCAAGTCTGATATTTAAATTCATCATTAGTATTAGTAAGTCATGTACATAATTGGCAAGCATAAATGCCAAAACAAGTGGAAAAATAAATTCCCTTTTACTAAAAGAGAAGGAAAAACTTTAATCACGTATCAGAAAATTTAAAGTTTTTTAATTGAGTCAAAAATAGTTGGCTAAAATAGATTAGATAATGGCAGTAATACAGTGTATCTGTTCAGAGAGAGTAATCAGGTTTTATTTATATTTAGTTTTACTAAAGATAGTGTACAAAGTATCAAAATTGTCTGTCTGACATCTGCATTAAGGCTTCAAAACTGATAGCTCCATTTTAGAAATATTTTGCTGTGTTATTTTAGAACAAACTTAAAATATGTCTTTAATTGGCAATTGCAGGTATGTATATATATTTTTCTATACAGGGAAACCTTTGGTATCCGGTACTCTGTTAACCAGAAAACTTTGTTAACTGGCATTGCCCCCAGCCACAATACTGTCACATCTTCAGGCACACAGGCTGGGCTTTGTTTACCATGATTGGCTTAACAATTTTTTATTTAAGAAGTACTAATCATCTTTAACTCAAAATAGAAATGTGAGACCAACTGCCTCTCACTACAAAACTATCAATATTAAAAACTTGAGTTGTCCATTGGCTTTTCCTAGGTTGTTGGGACCCTCAGTTGACCAGAATTTTTAGATATCTGGCACACTTGGAGATTAGGGCATTCTGGTTAACAAAGGTTTTACTGTATATGAATTAATACAGAGCTCCTGTCAGCTTAATTTCTAAGTTATCTGCAAAAAACCACTAGAGTTCTCAAGTGCTTTATTAGTCTCTGGAATCATTGTTGCCCCTCCCCTTGCCAAAATCTGAACTGTTACTCCTGCGTCTTCCCAGTTGCATTCACATCCCCAACTTGTGGCTCTCTGCCACATGCCTCTGCAGCTGCACATTCTCCAGCAGAAGCTAACAATGCCTAGTTTTGCAAATTGGCTGGGGCTCAGAAGCCACATAGACATGGGCAGTGGGTATATTAGGCCTGAAGAGGGTACGTTGGAGTGGGAGATGAGAAGGAACACAGGAGCAGGCATGTAATTGCTAAAAATCCTAGAAGTTATATAGTTACATGTGCTTTGAATAAATGTTGCACCAGTGAGGTGCCATAGATGATGTTTAAAAAGGGTCTGCGTGTATATATTCTCCTTTTTGAGGATAACATAGATAAAAATGCATGTGTAAGTACATGTTCAAATGTGTGTGTGTCTATAAGATGTATGGGGCACCCCACCTACCTTTCTGTTTAATCCATCTCAGCCCTCATGCCCATCAGAGAGAGCTTCTGATTCTGGCTCTGTAGAAGGTGGTGAAACTCGCTCACCTTACCCAAACGCAAGATTAGTGATCAGATGAAATAAGACAGATAAGAACCACAGTCAATAGAGCTCAGCTGCATACATAAATTTTCAGAAGGACTTTTACCACACAACTCCTATCACAATTTTTTTGACACCCTGTACGATTTTGAAAATGGTCCAGATTGTGGATTGTTTTTGAGAGGAGTATGGGGGAACAGCATGACATTTTTATTTATTTGATGCAGTTCTTTTCCCTTGAGTTGAAAGCACTGACTGTAGATGTAAATGTGCTGCAAACCAAGGTTGGTGTGACATTTTATTTTCTTCAGCTGTATAAAGGAAAAGATGGTAAAAAGTATCCAGGTTTTTTTGGTAATTTCCGCCAGCATATCTGAGCAGTTCACTTTCCCACATTAGAATACAGAACAGTTTTTTTTTTTTTTGTATGCACAAAATGGATTGGAAGTATGCTGAAGCTACTCTTTTTATGGGCATTTTGCTTTTTTGATTGGTATTGTTGCCACCTGCCAGTCAGCCTAGAGCTTTTGCATTGCAAGAGTTTGCCATAGGGCTGCTGTTACCTGCAAGGTTTTTGCTTGCAGATGGCTTGCTATAGCTTCTTTTGCCACTACAGTAAAACTCCAATTGTCTTGCATCCAGTGGTCCGGCACTCCCGATAGTCCGGCACCAACTGGAACCCGGAAGTGTTCCGGCCAGCCGGACAATTGGAGCTGCTCCGCGCTGTTTCCCCAAGTCTGCTGCTGCCGCTGCTGAAACTGACCAGTGCTGGACTTGGGGAAGAGGCGCTGAGCAGCTGGGGTGCTGCCTGGTTGGTCCCGCAGCACTGCCCTTCACCCCCCTGCTTGGTGCCTGGCAGCACTCCAGCTGCTCCGCGTCACTGCCACTGCTGAAACTGATGAGGTGGACTTGAGGAAGCTGTGGAGCTGAGCAGCTGGGGTGCTGCTGGGTGCCGAGCAGGGGGGCGAGGGGTGGCGCTGTGGGACCAACCAGGCAGAACATCAGTTGCTCTGCCCCACGGCTTCCCCAAGTCCGCCGCTGCTGAAACTGACTAGCAGCAGACTTGGGGAAGCCGGGGGCGGAGGGGCGCGCTGCAGGACCAACCCGGCAGCACTCCAGCTGCTCTGCCCCGCTGCCTCCCCAAGTCGCCACTGCCGCTTGCAGCCCCATCTGGCCTGTCGCCGGCGGCTGTGTGGGGCTTCCCCCACCCTCCAGACCCTATTTCATAGCCCCCCTTCCGGAGTACCTCCTGATACTCTGGCGTTTCCGATAATCCAACACCCCCTGGGTCTCAAAGGTGCCGGATTATGGGAAGTTTACTGTACTTGCTACCTTGGCTGATGCCTTGTTGGGGAGGGCTTACCATACCTACTGCTGCTGTCTTGCAGGAAGAGGGTTTACTGTTACTGCTGCCTGCATAGTTCCCTAGAATTATTGATTAAAAGGGGGAGTTGGCAAAAGACACCCAAGTGAATTAGGGAATATTGGAAGTTAGTGATAAGTTTTGGCAGACTTATTAGTTTTTGTTGTCAATGGCATCTCTGTACTATTTGACTGAACCCCTTGCTGTGATATGAATCTCTGTTCTGGTGCTAGGGTGTATAGGATGAATAAACTAAAACCCTGATCCAGCTCCTAATGACTTCAATGGAGCAGTGTTAGATCCTAATTTTCTGTCTTGATCATGTGATTTTTAGACTGTCCTTGATTGATTCTGTTCCTCTGATTTTGGGGGATAGGAGGGAGACTTTTTGCAATGGATAGTGGCTTTGCTTTTAGTTTTATATGTGCAGCTAATAAATTAGAAGGGCACAATAGGCATGTCCTAACATGATGTTTGCACTCAGACAAAAGAGGATACAATATGGAAAATAAAAAGAACATTCTGTTGGGAAGGAGCTTCCTCAGTTTCCCCAAGGAAAAAACTGATTAAAAAGCACATTGCTCTTGATTACATCCACCTCCCTGTCAAACTTATGTTTGACTTATTCCAATGTTTATTATCTCAACAATTTCAGATTTTGCAATTGATATGCTGAGGGAGTCCCTTAATTACAATAAACAGCTGTAAAAATCCCAAAGTTGTTTTATTTCTAGTTGAGAGTATGATCTATTTGGTGCGTGATAGTTCTATTGTAAAGTTAAACTGCAGATTTGCATGGAGTATTATAAAATTTATTTTTAACATGTTGCTATGCTAACATTGCAGTGACCACAAGGAAATTTGGCACCAAGATAAATAAAATTAATCAGTAATATATTGTTTCACAAGACATTTTGTATTTTGGACTTGTGCAGATTCTTGAGAGTATGCCAATGACGGAGAAAGTTGAAGAATTACTACATGTGATAGGTCCATTCTATGAAATAGTAGAGGAGAAAAAGAACAGAGGATCTGGCCTAACATCAGGTTTGAATAGATACCTCCTACTTATTTTGTATTGCAAATAATAATAAACAAAATCAGATTCTTAACTAACATAGTTACATTTCATTCTTAGTTTAATTTCTATAGTTTTTTTTAAAGCTAAATTTTGCATCTTTCTATTTAATTCCTTCACCATATGCCAGTCCGACTGGAAAAAGTCTCTAAATATTTAGAAGGTAGGAATGATAAATTCTGTGTAAATCCATCTGTTTCATTGTTTCATGTGCTGTATTTCTCTACAGTGTTTGACTTCTGGGTTTGTCACAATTATTTTTTATTTAAAAATAAACATTACAGGAAGGTCCAACAGCATATTCGGAATTTAACCAAATGTTTTCAGTGCTGAACGGAAAGTGTCAATGCAGAGGCTCTGTTTGTTGAGAGAATTAAAAAAGCATCCTGTTCCTGCCTCTCTAGTTGTAGAACAACCTTTTAAATTCTGCCTTTACTACATCTTGCATGTGGGTATGTGCAAGCAAGATGTGCTGTAGATCTCAGTCTGTTTATTTTCTGTCATTGTTTGAAAAACGATTTTTTGCTGTCCTCAATTTTTAAAAAAATGTATACCTCAGCACAGGTATGCATGGGATTTCATGGACTAATAAGAGATCTGTAATCTCCTTTGCTGTACTTGCAGTTTGCATTGCCCAATATTCGAGTTCAGGGGAGAAGGGGCTAGTTTGTGGCTATCTGACAGGTGGCAAACCCAGTAATTTCATAGTTATGTAAAAAGACACTGTGGCAACTATTACTTTACAACATTGTTGTAGTTCATAGTTGACCCTGTGAAAACATTTTGATAAGTAGAATGTTGAAACATTATAGGCAAGGTTGTCTGTCTAAATGTTGGTTTAAAATCTGGCTAAAGCTTTAAGCTAAAATTGGATATATGTAGCCTGAATTTGGAACTATTTTAAATAAATTGATCTGTTCTACAATTGAATTTTATGTAAATTTTATATAACTTGACAAACTTGTTTTAAGTACATCTTGCATTTTTACAACTCAAAAAATGGCTTTGATTATTTGCCAGGCTTTAAGCCAATCCGTTATATGTTCAAATTCAATTTTTCATAATTTGAAAAAAAAAAAAGGCTGAATTTTTTAACTGGCTGCTTTTAAAGCAGGATCACATTTTTCTACTAAAACTGCCTATGTTTCAGGTCTAGTATTTAATGAGATTGCATGGCAGCTGGTTTGACAGGCAAAATTGTAACAAGAGTATCTGCAGATTCAGGTCAGTGATCTGCATAATAAGGATTGACTCACTTGGAATCTATGGCACAGAGTACCAAAAGCCACTTTTAAAGAGTAGCTAAATATAAACTAACAGAGAATTATAGAAATTAAAAACATAAAAGACCAACTGGATCACCCAGACAAAAATACATTGAATCTTAAATTTGTTACTCCAACAAGTATAGCTTGTTAACATCAGAAAATGTAATGTATATTCATTTAAATAACATCAGTGAATCAAACTAACAATAATAAGAAAAATCAAAGTTGAACCTCAAGTTTCATCTTTATCTGGCGCTCTCAATATTTTAACAGATGCAATGCACAAATCTGAAATCCTGAAACATCCAATTGTTTCAGCATAGATTTTGACTGATTCCGAATTGAATTATTTTGCATTAAAAATTATTACATTGGGATATGATTAAATCCTTCTTTCACTCCCTCTCCAGTCCACTGAAGAAATTAATATTTTAGTTGTAAGCTGTAGATACTAATTAGCACCTACTAATACTATTCTTCTAATAATTTGAGTTAATTGTTTCATTCTTTGGACCTTTCTGCCTTCTTTGAATCCCTCCTATTTCATTTATCCTTCATATTGATTTTTGTACTGCTCTGTTTAGAGGAAAACTTAGGAAGCGTGATAACAGCAAAGGTAAGGTTCATTACCCTCACTCTGTCTCTGATCTCACTTTTTTCTCTCTTTGCATCTCCTACTTCTCTGTTCCCATGTATCCTGGGAATTGTGGTTCCTGGACTCAAGAATATAGGCCCTACCTAGGAACAAAATGTACCAACACCATCTGGGTAGCTGTGTGCACCTAGATAGATACATCACATTCTTCCGCCTTTAAAATAACCGTTATAGAACTTTAGTCATTTCCAAACCATCACTTAAGTCCAGTGACAGTCTTCCAAACTTTTCAGTAGTTTTCTTTTTCTCATACTTCTAATGCCAAAGGAATAAGACTAGGAGATGAAGCAATTCCTGATAGTACAGATTGTCCATCATCACTGTCAATTTTATTGATGTTCTCTGACCCAGAGTGGAAATCATGTTCCTCTTCTTCAGCTCTTAGCTGATGAGCAATGGATTATCTTGAAATAGTCCATTTCTTTCCAATTATGAATACTGCAAAATTTGCTCATATTTCTGTTATCTGTACGTGACATGAATATCTTGAATGCCCTTTTTTTGACTCTGCATGACAGCTTCGTGTGAACAAAATTTCCAATTTAAAACTTGAGGTTTAGCACCTTTCTTATGATCTACATATTGTCTCTATTTCACCTTTTTGTTTTTTTTTGTTTTTTTTGTTTTTTTGTTTTTTTGTCCTAACACATTCATGAATAGTTTCACCTGAAGGTTTGGTTGAAAAAAGAAATTGGATAAGCATTTGACAGATTAAGTCACGTATTGGCCTTAGGTCCCCAAAGACTGATACTCCTGCTGAGTGTGCAGCAGTCTGGTAAGCAAACATTGTTTCATATAATGCTTTTTTCCCATGGTCTCATTTGCTAACTAGTAAGTTACAGACTTTCTTTCACCAGTCTGTTCATTCTCTCAACTAGACCATTAACTCTCAGCTGGTGGTAAAAACAAAACAAACCCTGTTTTATGTGATTTAGCGTTATTACTGAGGTAGTGTTGCATTTCAATAGAGGTTAATTGATTTCTATTGTCAATTATTAATTCCTTGGGAAATCCCCCTTGGCCAAAGACTGATCACATGAACTTAATCATTATTTCAGCAGTAACCATTCCTGTGAATGTAACTTCTAGCTGCTTTGAGTGATAGTCTATGACAAACCTTATCATAACAACGTATTCTTCAGGTGGCGCCTTTATGTCCAGAACCGGTATCTGCAAATGACAGTTGGGACATTCAACTGGAGTGAGATGGATGCTGAAGGTTTCTGTCACTATCACTAGTAGCACAAACTACAAGCTGATAATCAATCCCAGGCCACCAGAAGTCATGTTGCAATTGTCTCTTGGTTGTACTCAAACCTAGGTTTCCTTCATGTACTAGGAGAATCAGCCATTCTTTCAAAAGTGTAGGCACAAATTATGGTAAATTCTCAAAATCTATTGATCTACAAGGGACAGGTAGTGTGATGCATTTCTACATGGTTATAAGTGTTCTGATGTCGTCATCTTGTAAGACCATCCATTGATTTATGGAAGTCGTTAGGTCTTGAAGTGCCTTGTTTTCTCTCATGGCTGTTGCCCGTTTTGAGACTGTTATCGTTTCTTGAGGTATAGCAGAGATTTGTCCAATGACAGTCCCTTCATCTTTATTGCATCCTCGTAAGACCATACTCACAAGGATCTGTTATGACAATTGTTTACTTCTCAGAATCAAAGGCTTAGAGTTGGCCTGGTTGAAATTGTGTGTTTGATCTTGATAAACCTGTTCTTGCACACTTCATCCCATTCAGATATAACATCCTTTTTTAGGAGATGATGCAAAGGAACTGCTTTTATAGCAATTTGTTGTCCGTCTTCTAATAGCATTTTACAATCCCAAGAAGGATCAAAGTTTGTCCTTGTTGTTGGGCTCTGTCATGGATACCTTTCACTGGATCTGTTTTTGATGTGCCATTGAGAAAGTGTATGTCCTTATGTCACTGAGTTTGTATGGAATTGCCTTTTTTCTTCTTGCTGATACGTCCATGTCATTGAATTTTTCCAATAACCTTGTTTACAGTGACACCTTCTTCCGATTCATCTTTGTCATAAACTAAAATGTCATCTTGAAAGTTAAAACCCTTTGTCTCTCCAGGGAGCCAATGTATCATTCTCTAGCAACTACAGAAGCTTTGTTGTTGTTGCACTTCTTGCATACTGATTTGTTGGCAGAATACCTTTGACCATCTGCCTATGACTACAGTGCACATGTAGCATTGGTAACAGTAAGGTGTATGGGAAGGCAAAAGGCACTGTGGATGTAGACTAATGAGCTTTGTGTGGTGGTGTTTTGCTCTGCATTAACCTCTGCAAGCTGGAATAAAACTAGTATTGTGGAAAGTGATTAACATAATGGATGGTGCTCTTCACTTGTCAGGCAGGTCTTACTTGGAGAAAACAGAATCCAGAGGCAAGTGACAAAAATGATCAGAGCTGGAATGCAAGCCATGACAAAGGCTGAAGGATTTGGATGTTTTGTTTGGAAAAGAGAAGATCTAGGGGGAACATGATAGTAGTCTTCAAATAATTGAAAGGCTGCCCGAAAAATGGAAGAAAGTTCTCTTGCCACACAGGACAGGACAAATGGCAATGCGGTCAAACTACAGCATTACAGATTTAGGTTAAATCTCAGGCCTGGTCTACGTTAGTAGTTTAGGATGAATTTAGCCTCAGAGGTCAATTTTTCCCCTCCCTCACAATAATGAGTATGCACTACTAAGCCCATTCCATTGACTTTAAGGACTGTTAAAGTTGATTTCTGTACTCCTGCTTTTCGCAAGGAGTAATGACCCATTCAACCTTACATGTTTAATTTTACAGTAGTTCAGATGCAGTGCTCTGAGAGTTGACATGGGGACTGATCTGGCACGAAATCCAACTCTACTGCTCCCCAAGAAAAGCCAGCCCCTGGAAAATTTGAGTTATATTTCATGTATGGCCAGCGCGGCAAGCATATCTGAGCAGCACTTCTGACTACATGAGTCAAAGTTCCAGGAGTTCCCAAGGTCACAGATGATCACTAGCATGAAGTGTGATGTAGATCCTGGATCTCATTGCTGTGTGGGGAGAGGAATTGGTTGTTGCAGTGATACAAACCAGCAAAAAAAAATTCATATATCTGTGTAAAGATCACAAGGAGCATGGTGAGCAAAGGATGTGCCAGGGACACCCAGCAGTGCTGCATGAAAATAAAGGAGCTGAGGCAGTCATACCAAAAGACAAAGGAGTCAAACGGACGGTCTG